CGATCAATGCTGGCACAGAAAAATAACATTATTGAAAACACCCAGTACTTATGCAATCTCAAGATTCCCTGATGTATGTGATAGACAGGCTTTCAGGTACCATTCTGTATAGTGAAATGGTGTCATGATCTGAGCAATTTCAGCTGGTGTGAAGGTAGTGCTTATGAAAGCTGTCCATCTATTATAAAATGCCTCGGATCTCATGTCGGGTTGAAGTTCTGCATCCAGTCATTCCCTCACCGCTTCATGCACAGTCAGAGGGGTATTTGCATTCCATTTACGCATCACACAGCGCCTGGCCGCTAGGAGACAAAGATGCACCCAGTCCCCTCCTTGTTGCCCCATTCGCGCCATAGCCTCTCCCAGTGGCGCACTAAAGACATAGAGAAGGGATTCAAAAGGGGGGATCCATTTTGTAACATCTGTAATGAAGAAGGCCAGTGCATGCCATAACTTGTTGACAGTGGCACAATTCCACAAGCAATGTGCCAGTGACGGTTGGATAGAACCACATTTCGGACAGCTAGATGTCAGAGTTTCTGATGATTAATCCTGCGGCTTAAAATACGGGACGCATGCACTGTGTAGAATTTTGAATTGGGTGTCCCTCCAAGTTTCATTGATCACTATGCTTTTAATCTTGTTGTAACCTCATAGTAGATTATCAATTATATCGGGATTCGGAAAGTCTTTCACCCAGTTCTTGACATTAGAGGTGTGTAAAGATTGCACATACAGCGTTTGATGGTGGGGATACAGTTTCCGAGACAGAGTAGGCATTGTCCTTCAGCATGGCGTCTAGAAAGGACACCCCTAAAAAATTCTTAGGGTTCTGGGAGACGCTCTGCCACGTTTTGGTGGCTTGGAGGAAATGGAGGAAATGTGTGCCCGGTATTCAAAAACCCTAACGAGGTCCAGGAAGGTTGCAGGTGTCTTTGAAGGCCCTAAGAACAATTGAGCCCACATACTCAGCCCCTGTTGATGCAAAATTTTAAACCCTGAGTAATCCATTCCTTGGGGGAACATGGGATAGATGCAGTCCTCGGCGAACCTCCCTCCAGGCCACCACCGTGTCATGAATCAATAGGTTACCCGCTATATCCTTCGGAAGGAGATAAATCTTACAGTGCAGAATGGCCTTGATGATCCAGGGATGCAGTAGGGCAGCTTCCAGAGAGGTATTGGAAAATCTAGAATTGCCAGACACCCAATCCAGCACATGTCGTAATAAACAGGCTATATTGCGCAAATGTAAATTGGGCAAGTTAGCCCCCCCCACCCGGCTCTTCGGGAGCCATAGTTTTTTAAGAGAGATTCTAGGGCTTTTAGAGCACCATATGAATCTGAGCACCGCTGTATTGAGGTGATTGACGTCCTTATGTTTTAGTAGTAAAGGGTGAGTCTGTAACGGATATAATAGCCTAGCAAAGCTTGTAATTTTAAACAAGTGTATCCTCCCAAAGAGCAAAAGGTGTAGCTCCCCCCAAATCTCTAGTTCACGAATAGTCCTATCTATCAAAGGGGAAATATTGAGCCCATTTAGCGATGAAGGAAGTTTCTCAACCTTAATGCCTAAGTAGGTGATGTCACGTTGCGCCACTCTATGCGCCAATCTGAGTTCCCAAGAGTTATCCACAATAGTGGTAAGAGGAAGTACCTTGCTTTTGCTGAGATTTATTCGAAGGCCTGAGAAAGTTCTAAAGTGTGTGAATGTGTATATATATATATCGATATATATATATATCGATATATATATCGATATATATATATATCGATATATATCTTGGATGGCTACTATGTCGTTGGCAGGCCTAGATTAAAATAGTAGGATATCATTTGCAAAGAGTGCAATGCGAAGCTCTTCATCCCCTAAAGTTATACCTCTAAGCAATGGTGTTTGTAATATATACCTCGCTAGGGGTTCCAGAGCCGAATTAAAGAGGAGCGGTGACAGTGGGATGTTTAACAATATCGACGGAGATAGAGCGCCTCCAGTTAAGATCCTGGCTGAATCATACATATGTTGCAGAAAGGAGAGCACTTTGCCCTGAAATCCGAGTGTGGACAGCACCAGAAATAGCCAATCGAGATTCACATTATCAAAGGCTTTTTCTGCATGCAGGGTAACAATAGCTAGTTCCCTGGAAGGGGACGATTTGGCAATCTCTAATGCTGTCAGGACTCTGCGGATGTTCTTAACCGCCGACCTACCTTTAATAAAACCCACTTGTGCTGGATCAATTACGGACAGCAGTCTATCGGCTAATCTCTGTGCCGCTATCTTTGAAAGTATCTTTGCGTGAACGTTAAGCAACGATATCGGTCTGTATGATCCCGGGTTTGTCTGCCCTGTGCTTCGCTTTGTCTTTGGAAATCCCTGTCTACAGTCTGTCCTGTGCTTCGCTTTGTCCTTGGAAATCCCTGTCTACAGTCTGCCCTGTGCTTTGCTTTGTCCTTGGAAATCCCTGTCTACAGTCTTCCCCGTGCTTTGCTTTGTGCCTGAATGTCGGAGTCTTCAGCCTGTCCCTAACCTTTGATACATACCCTGTACCTGTTAGGTGAGTTGGGTGGACCTAGGGATTGTGACCTGGGGTCAGCACGCAGCCAAGCCCATCTCCACCATCAGGAGCTCTGGTGAATACCAGCTGGCCCTTAGATTCCTGGGGGACCCCATGCCACCTACTCAACATCCCATGCCACCTAATCAGCATTGCAGCATCCTTGCCTTGTATTTGAACTTTCAGCTTAAGCTGACTTCCACTGCCTCATTCAGTTCTTCAGCTCCATTCCCTGCTTGTACTCCAGCTCTGTGAGTCATCAGCCTACACTGCTTGGACTCCTTCTCTAAGTGTCCCTGCCAGTGTAGTAGAAAGGGTCCACATACCTGA